GCCGCTGGCTGTGCCTGCTGAGCTGGTTTCTGCTCCCCTGAGGCTGTGAAAGACACAGACAAGCATTGCATCAGTTTCCAATGGCACCTCCAGGAGCCTTACCCACTCCAATCCTTCAGAATCACTGCAAAGCCCAATGCAGAAACCCAAGGGGCTTTGCAACACACTCCCAACAACTGACTGTAATCACAGAGCATCTCCAACCATGTGAAAACTCCCATGCAACCAAAATTGAAGCTTTTTTCAGGTTCAAACTGAAGGAGGGGAAGTTTAGATGAGATATTAAAAAAAAGTTTTTTCCTGTGAGGGTGGTGAGACAATGGCACAGGTTGCCCAGGGAGGCTGTGGCTGCCCCAACCCTGGCAGTGTTCACAGCCAGGTTGGCTGAGGCCTTGAGCAACCTAGACTTGGGACTAGATCACAGAATCAGTTAGGCTGGAAGGGACCACAATGGGTCATCTGGTCCAACCTCCCTACCCCAGCAGGGCCACCCTAGAGCACATGGCTCAGGGTTATGTCCAGATGGTTCTTGAGTATCTCCAGCAAAAGAGGATCTATGACCTCTCTGGACAATCTGTTCAGACCTCAGTGACTGCACAGGAAAGAATTTCTAGCTCATATTCAGGTAGAACTTCCTGTGCATCACTTTTTGCTGTTGTCTCTTGTTTTATTGGTTTCCACAAGTGAGATAAGTCTGATCCATCCTCTGGGCACTTCCCCTTCATGTACTTGAACCCATTATCAATGGACAGATGATCTCTAGGGTCCATTCCTTCTTTAGGGTCCATTCCAACCCCTAAACTTCTATGATTCCATGAACAGAACAATGCTTACCTGAGGTCGAAGTAGAAACGGTGGTTGTAGTTGTGCTAGTTGTGGTAGCAGCTGCTGGCAGTGGAGTGAACAGGAATCTCTGGATTGTACCATTTGGCATAGCTGCTTGCATTAGCTGCTGTCCTGGGCCAGGTATTACAGTCACACCCTGAGGGATTAATTGTAACTGACCAGTAGTTTGACCTTGTCCCTGAATGACCACAGTTAAGCCTTGACTGCCACCCTAGAAAAAGAGTGAACATTGATGTATTAGTGATACAACTCTGAGACTCTGCTGAAAATCAGAACAGTTTGGGGGTTGGATTTCAGAATTCAATACTTGTACCACATACCATATTCCTAGAATCCAAAACTGGGAAATACTAAAATACTCTTTCAACAAGTCTATCATCAACAGATGATTGGGTTGGCATTAGTTACACATTTTGTCAACCCAGCAAGGTCCCTACAAAACCTTCTGAGTCTTTGGTGTAGAAACTCAGAGAAACACAGACTGACTGGGGTTGGAAGGGACCTCAAAGCTCCTTTTGTTCCACCCCTGCCATGGGCAGGGTACTGTGGTAACTCACAGAAATGTATTTTGACCTGACGCTTGACTCTAAACTTCTTTGCCAACAGACCTTCATGATCTGAGCAGAAGCTCTAAGAACTTTTTCTTCCTCTGCTTACAGACACTAATTTTTCCTCTGAGACTCTAGATAATGTGAACGAAAATGAAACCTCTACACAAAATCAAGAGACAGGAAAGGAACATCATGACCTGAAGGGCTACAAAATAGGCCATACAGAATAATTATGTCTCTTACTGCTATTACAGACTTTTTTCCATACTGCTCAACTCTCCTGATGCCAGTTCCCTGACTGAGGAACACAACAAGACGCAATAGTATTTAACCTTCTTTCAGTCTGTAATTATGCCAATGGTCATCCTAAATGAAGCCCAACACATGCATTTCAGAGCAGATGCACTAAGCTGCTGAAATCTGAAGGCCTGCTAAGTGTTAGCACAGCTCCATGGCCAGGGCTGTGCAGCATTTTACCTGTCCTTGTGTCAGCTGTGTGAGCTGGGCCATGGTCAGCTTCACCTGTCCCTGCTGGGGGCGAGGGGGCTGTGCTGGGGTTTGGGGCTGCACTGCTTGAGGTGGAGTTCCAGAGCTGCTGACAGTCTTCTGCCCAGCACTGGAAGAAGCTGTGCTGGTGCTAGAAACTGCAGTTGAGACAGGCTGACCTCTGATTATTTGAGTCACCACTTGCTGGGTCTGACCTGTAAGAGAATAATTTGAGCTAAGAAACACATTTCCAACGTTTTAGCCACAAGCACAGCAAACCAAGTGGCAGTTTGCAATGGGGTGGGATGGAGATCAGACAGGTGAAGCAAACACTGCAGTCTGCACATGGGTTTTCTTTACAAACCATTTATCTGGGTAGTTTGACTGAAAAATGACTACAAAATGTTTTCTATTTTAAGTCTATACACAAAGTACTTCAAACAGCCTTTAATAAGAAAAAAAAAAAAAAGGGCTTTCTCAATGCACAATTCCCCTACATGTTTTTAGTTTTGTTGCAGGTTTTTTCTTCCCAAATGAATGGACTTAAACATAAGCAGCAGATTTCCCAGTGCCAGTGAAGAAAAACACTGACAATGCCTGCAATGATAAACTCCAAAGTCAAAAAAAGGCAGTGGTTAAAGGTCAAGCACCAACACGAGGGATTTTTGCATTGGGATGGATGACACAAGAGGAGCTCATGAAGGAACAAACCATGGATTTCACAGTGGTGATTTAAATATTAAAGTGAACCTACTGGCTGGGAGAATACCTTGCTGCACCACCACAGGTGTTCTGATGATGGCCTTGCCAAGTGCTGACTGCTGGAGCGGTGTCCGGATCACCGTCATCCCGGGCCGCAGCGGAGTGCCCTGCACCACCTGCACACACAACAGGGAGAGCCCATGGAACAACCCCTGAGGCACACCCTGAATTTGACTGTTTTTTTTATACAGTAAGAAATGATAAGGTAGAAGCAGCCCCAATAATTTTTCACCTATGCCCACACTGCTCTATTCATTTTTCCACCTGGAGAGAATTGTTGTGCCTCCTTGGAATAAAGGATCCATAAACACCATTGCTGAGATGAGCCAAAAGCATTGGAAAGTGATCAGACAGCACTTCAAATACCTGCCAGTACCTTAAACTCTAGGCCCCCACACTGCTTTGCATTAAATAACCAGAAAAACATCTTACTTGTGAAGTGCTTGTTGTTCCTAACGTCCCTGTGGTATTTGGCCTAATGGTTACAGTTGCTGTCCTTGGCTGGAATGAAGTAAAGGTTTGACTTGCACCTGTAGTTGATGGAATGATACCCAATACCTTTTGCTGAACTTGAACCACACCTAATTAAAGAAAAATTGAGAATTTGTTAATGACATGAAGGGCAGCACAAGAAGTAAATGCAGCTCCAGGGTGGCATTTAGAACTCAAGTCTCCAGGTTTCTAGAATACCTTTGAGCCTTTGCCATATTGTAAACACAACAGCATTACACTTTGTTATCCATGGTCCAAATACATTTCAGGTTAAGAAACAGATATTTTAGAAAAGATTAGGGGAAGTGTGAACTGTCACAAAGATCAGTTTGATGCTAACTGCAAAGGAGTCCTTGCATTGACACAGTGCCACCAATTAGTACTGTACAACCATTAAAAGCTACAACCTGATTGATTTTGAAATGTAGGAGACCAGTTTAAACACCTTTCACCTACAACCTTGTGGAGCTGAAGAAAATGGGCAATGCTTCTCCTGCCATCTAAATTTCAATGCAAAACTAGCAGCCTTCATCATTTCCTGAAATGCCAAGTATCATGGAGACAGAATTGAGCTTTTTTTTTCAAGTAACATTCACAAATCTCAAAGTATTAAGTCTTCTTCTTGAGACAAGAAGAAAAATGCTAATCTTAGTTTGGAGCCAAACTCCTGCTCACCAGTGAAGAGCAGCTGTAGGCATCAGTAACTAAACCCAGCAGCTTTTATTTTACTTAAGATGACAAACAAAAGCATGCTTCACTCCACACTGTGCAGGATAAAGCTCCTCATTTTGTGCCCTGAAATGCAGAATAATTTACTGGCAAAAAAATTGCATCTTTCCCCTTACAAACACAAATATGCAACGTGGGGGTACAAGTTCTAGAAACTTGCATATGTATTATATAAAATATTTTTCCCCCTTCAAGTCACAGTTTACTTCACTGGGAAAATCGTGTCAATGGAGACGAATGAGCAAGCTGGAATACATTGTTTATTCAGTTCCCTTTGCCCTACCTCCTTGAGTTGATGGCACATTGACGGCAACAATCTTGCTGTTTGCAGGGAGTGGCAGCTTAGTTATCACTTTCCCTGCCATCGTTACTGGGCTGCCTGAGAGCTGGAAGGTCTGCCCTGTGCTGGCAATGCTTGTGGCTGAAGTGGCAGCTGTGCTAGTGGCTATTGAGGCACACAGAACAGGCAGGTTTAGAGCAGAGTAATTAGTCAGTGAAATGACTGTTTGTTGAGTATGAGACAGCAAACTACAGGACTGTTTTTACAATGTGTCATGCTTGCTTTGGTAGAGGTTCTGTTTTGGAAACAGCATGTTACACCACGGAATGGTTTCATTAATGATTGCTGGTACAGTAACTGTCAGAATTAATGAGACAGGTCAGAAATGAGACTTCCTAGCAAGTCTGAGCAACGAAGAATTAGACAGGTATAATGTCAGAAATGTCCTGCTGGCACAGTGAGAGTTTGGAGCCAAGATAACAAGAAATGTGATAATGCTGTGTGCTCTGAGAAGATGTATATAGGATGTGATGTATGGGAGATGAACTCCAGCACATGTTCTTTGCAGGACAAATGGCTACTTACCTGTTGAGGATTGGCCTTGTTTAACCCAAGTAGCAAAAGTCTGATGGAAATTCTTGTTCTGTTGGAATGTTACTGTAGCTGGAGAACCCACTTTAGTAGTAAGGACTACTTTGGTTCCCGTGGGCACTGGGCCTGCTAAAGGCCCCACCACGACTTTCTGGGGTGTGGAGACAGTGGTTGCAGTGCTGCTGGCTGAGGTGACAGCAGGGACCACACCTGCCACAGGTAACTGCTTCTGCTGTTCCAGACGTTTCTAGGGTATTGAAAAAACATTCAACAAAGGGATAATTAGCATGGTCAAGTCATGCAACATAAACACTGTCTCTACCTAGTGTTAAAAAATAAAGGACTCTGGTAGGATTTTAGTTTAAACTGTAGAGGACTGAAGGATAAGCTGATTGCACACCCTGTAACAGGAGAACTGCAACTCTGCTTAGAATACATGGCCGGAAATATTCCATGATAGCAGCTTTAAAAACCACAGAAACATAGAAGGTTAAGGGGTTGGAATGGACCTTAAAGGTCACCTAGTCCCAACCTTAGCTTATGTTCACTTCACTGCACATTTTACTTTAAAAAACCTCCATATTAATTGGTCTCAGGTTAATCAGGAAGGTTTAAGAACTCTGAGCAATATCCATCTATCCTTGGCTTTGACCATGTGCACACATCTGTCAGTAAGTAGTGCATCAGGAACACAGAGCTTACTACTACCACTCCTAAATTTGGAGCTTCCTGCACTAAGATCCTACCAGTTAAGGGGAAAAAAACAGACTGTATCATTCTACTTCACTATAAGGAATGTAATTTAAGAAACACTCTTTTAAACGTAAATCCAGTTTGCAGCCAGCTTAAAAAAACAAAGTTCAAAATCCTTTACCTTACCCAGCAACCTTCTGTGCTGTCACACTCAATTTAGAGAGCCCCTTTGTGAAGGGATAGTATCAGTAAGCTCTTGTAAAATCTCAACCAACCTAGCATTCTTCCCTGTGCCACTGGAATTATCTCTGCGTTTATTGATTTAAATTCCAGTGTTTGGTTAGCATTCTATTGCAGTGATGCCCACAAACCAAACACCTGATCACTGCTAATGTCACATTTTCAGGGAGGATGAAATAAAAATGGAATAAAAGTTGGGAAAAAGCAGCTCCTAATAACATAGGTGAAACACCAAGATGGCACCAGGTTTCCTAATTTAAACTGCATACATTTATATACACATGTACATCTGCATTTATAAAATTATCAATGGGCTTCATTCAGCCAACTTGAGACAGAATGAAATCAAGAGTCAGTCTGATTGAAGCATGAAATGCAGTTGTATTTCCCCTGCACACAGAACACTGATGACCTTACCTGGAGACTGGTGCTTCTCAGCCTTCTTTGAAAATGGAAACAAACTAAACCATTTTAAAGTGGTATCAGTTAGGTGGGAAAAAGAAGGCAATCTAAACCAAACTGGCCTTAACTATTTCAAAATAACAGATGTACAGTGGTTGCAGCACTGTTGGATGGCTTAGTCTGCATTTTGCACTGTAGGAAAAATGGTGTAGGACAGGGCTAAACTTAGTTTGCCATATTGCAATGCATGTGGATGACCAGAGCAGACTGCTGACAGGTGGGACAACCCATAGCTCCCCCACCTGCTGGGCAGCCAAACGTTGGTGTTTTAGCTGAGCCTCCAATTGGGCCTTGAACTCCTCTGCCTTCTTCAGTTCACTAACCTTAGCCTGTTGTTCAACTGCCTGTGCCTTTTCCTTCTCCACCCTGCCAAAGACACAACCAAAAGTTAAGTTAAACCACCACATCAGATTCAACCAGCAAACTGGATTTCCTCTTATGCAGTTTAATTGCCCTTGTAAGGACATTTACCAAGAGTGAAGACGATTGAAAAACTGGTCATGGCTTTAAAAGTATTCTGAAATAAACTACTGAAGTTACATGAAACATCCCTGAAGTATTTTGGTGCTAAACTACTGCAACACCATACAGGAAACTATTAACCAAAACTGGAATTTATAATTACCTCTGAGACTGCAAACAATCTGTGTAATAACATTCACTTAAAACAATTCCTTCCAAGAGACTCAGAAATGTTCCAACTCTAAGCACACAATACTGAAAATATGCATCTTATGACTTGAACATTCTCAGGCTGACTTTACCTTTACTTGTACACAATCATTTTCTTTGCATTATACAAGTATTTAACACATCCTGTATAAAGTCATGCCACAAGCAGCCTAAGCCCTTTCAATGCACTGCAGTAAAAACCTTTGAGCATACAGCAGTGATCAGTTCACAAACATGGCAAAACTGACATTATATTAGTTCTAACAAATCTGTAATATCTGCATAAATTCATTTTAGTACCAGCAAACAGTTCAGCTTTACAACTTCAAGCCTGTCACTATCAAAAGGCACAGTAAAAATGCAACACAGATCTGATTTTACTGCTCAAGTTCGTTTCCAAGTGCAAAATTTAACACACACACAAACGAAAACTCCTTTCTTTCAAAGCTCACCCGAGTTCACTTACCTTTCAGCAAATGCCCTGATCTCCCACAGTTCCAATTCCTCCTCTGCTACCCAAGTTTCCAGTATAACAGGGCCTGTTTGCTTGGGAGTTTCTGGCCTTTTGGGCCTCAGAGCACTCGATCGCAGTCCCTTCCTCTGGGGTGTTGGGGTTTCTTTGCAGAACAGGTAAAACACACACATCAAGCTCAAGCATAAAACTAATTTACAGTGCAATGCAAATTTAGTGTCTTTGCCAGCCTCATTTTATCACCAGGAAGACCTTTCAGCTTCAGATAAATCAGTTAGTTAAATGCATCATTTGTTTCCCACAAGTGAATGAATAGCTCATGTCAAGCTGTATTTGCTCCCTGGATGGTCTGAATTAACAAAGATCCAGTTACCTTCATTTCTGTAGGAGACTACAGGGAGGGGGAAAAAATGTCTAAGCAAACCTACCTTTTGGAGCCTCTGGTACACCAATGGGACAAATAATTTTTCTTATACAGTACTCTGAGCGGATTCCATAGGGACCAACATCTCTGCGCTTGATGATTTCTGTCGTCGTAATCTCAGTTTCAGTTGTTTCTACAACAAATTAGTCCCAATACATTAACAACAGAAACAAATAAAGCTCAATCTACAACCAACCTAACATCCTCAAGGTAAAGAAACAGCAGCTAGTACAAAGTGTTGACTACAGATTCGAACGCCACAGCTGACATGGAGCCCTTCCAGAAATGCTTGGAGTGTAATACCCAAAATCAACAGCTTTTGCATGAAGAGACCATGAAATTTAAGGCAGTGATACCTGTCCTTGTGGTTCCTCCCCCAGGTGGAGCTTTCGCTGCCATATCATCCCACTTGAGACAAGCCCACAGCAGCCGCAGCATCAGGCTCACTCCAGCCAAGGATTTCACCGTCTGAAGTCGATACCTGACGACAGAGGAGGAGTTACACTTCCAAAGCAAAATGTGTTTCAAATACTCAAAACAATGGGATAAAGATTTTCCACTCTGCTTTCACTGAGCAATACAGAAAACTATCAAATCATAGGAAAATCTGCATGTTCGGGCACAAACACGTGCATCCTTCGTATTCTAAAATTCAGTTAATTTTATCACATTCTAAAAACTTCCCTCAAAAATGTAAAGCATGTACCTCCAAGTGATGCCAAAAGTTGGTCTTGGGGATGGATATGGCCAGATATCCAAGGCAGGCTTTGCATTGTAGTTGAAATAGGGCACCTCCCTGATCCCCCCTCTCCTGGCCAGCTTTTTCAAGTCATCATTGGGCAACACAAATATGCTTTTTTTACTGCTTTTGGTAACAAACTTTCTGTAAGATGGTAAGGCAGTGCCAGAACGAGTTTTTTTAGGTCTGGTAAATTTCATTAACTTCACTTTGTCCTTGGTGGAATACTCTTTGCTGACAGTCATGGAAGTGACCAGTGTGCCCTCTGGGGTGGTCAGCGAGTCGGTCACTGTGGTGGTAACCACAGTCTTACTGTGCTCCTGCACAGAAATGACATCACTGCTGCTGTCTGTGGCTGGAGTGGAGAGTTTGGTTACAGTGGTGGTGGTGGTTACAGTGGATATGGCACAGTTTTCTGTAGATGAAACCACTGTGGTTGTCTCATCACTGGAAGCCACAGTCTCTGCCACTTTAAACACTGTCTTGGATTCTGTAGACACAGTTGAGGTTGTGGTAGTCACTTCAGTGATAACAGTTTTTATTTTACTTTCCCCATTGATATTTTCCATTTTGTATGTCTGTACACCATTCTGATCGAAGGGACTACTCAAGCTGGACTCCTCACACGAGGTTACAGGCGATGGAGCAACTTTCTTCTCCTCCATGCCCTCAGTTTCCATGGATTCTGTCTCACTGCTCAGGTTGTTTTCCTTACAGACAGGCTGTGCTGGTGGGGAAGCAGAGCCAACAGAGGCAGATCTCTCAGGAGAAAGCTCTTTTTCCTCAGCTTTCTGCACACACTTGGGAACTTCATCAGGTGGCTGAAGGCTCTCTCCAGACTCACACTCGGGTGAGCTCTGCAGACATGACTGAGAGTCAACATCATTTTTGTCCTTTGTGTCCTCTACCATGATGTCACCATTCATGAAGGGTTTTACTGAAGATTCCTTAAAAGTCAATGGTTTTATTTCATATTCCGGAATGGATTTATTAATGTTATTTACTTTTGGTTCAATATCACCCCCTGCCTTAGCCTCACAGGTCTCTCTAACTGAGCACTCATCATTTGATATCACTTTAATGTCATTGTCTTTTCCATTCACTTGAAATGATGATTTTTCTTTTTCTGTCTCAGTTTCTTCATCTTTACTATTCTTTTTGTCAGTACCAGTATTTACATTTGTCTGATCAAGATACTTGTTTAGGGTACTTGTTTCCACTTTCAGTTCCTGACTTTTCTTCTGACCATTAGCCTCAGTTAGTTTAGACCTCAGCAAATCCTCACTGACATCTACCCCATCCATGTGTTCCAGAGTTTGACTCTCCAGGTTTCTTTCAGAAATCAGACCTGTTTTAAATGACTCTAGATCTTTAATAGGTGATTTCTTGTGCAATACAATCTTCTTTTCAGTTTTACTTTCAGTCTTTATGGAAGCAATCTCTTCCTCCATTTCACTTTCTTGAGAGGATGTTGTTTCCATATGGCTTTTTATCATACAGTTGTTTTCTGGATCTTTGCTCTGCTGCTCAGAATTCCCTTCTGAATCTGTTTTTTCAAGAGAGGCCACAGCATCTCTTCTGCAGCTGCTTTCAGTTACCATGGGCCCCAAGTTCTCAAGCTCCCGCTGAGATACTCTGCTAACAGGTAGTTTTTGTCTCAAAGATTTTTCATTTGTCTCTGAGACATCCCAGTTGCTTCTGCCTTCTGCATTGCTTCCTTTCAAGTCATCCACAAAAGAACTCTCAGACTCCCCAGGAGCCTCTTGCCCTTCACACCTCTCAGCAGTTGTAGGTTCTGGGTTGTTTTCTTTGCCATCATTCTGAACAGAGCTTTCTCCTCCAGAAGACTGAGGTGAGCCTTCATCCAGCAGCTGCCCTTCTCCTTTTGACAGCCTGGGGGGCAGAGAGGATTCCTCTTCCTCTGCAGGTTTGGTGCAGGAGATGCTGCCGATGGGCACACAGTCCTGTTCCGCATCCTCGGGCTGGGTCTTCTCCGAAACACAGGTTTGCTCTTGGGAAGGAATGTCCAACTGGCTTCCTTCTCTTTCCTTCCTCATTTGCAGCTCCTCAGAGTTTTTCTGGGGGCTCACAGACTGTATTCCCACACTTTTAGCACCAGCCTCCAGCTTCATCTTCTCCAGGCGCTGTTTCTCCTCCAGTGTGAACTGCTTGATCCGCCGCTCGAGGAGTCCATCCAGCTTGGATGATTTGACTTTCCTTTTGTAGCAAGTCCTTAAGTGAAACCCCTCGCTGACATTGATTATATCCAGGTTACACTGACTGTCCTCATCCTTCATGGAGGATTCAATTTTCACATCATCTACATCCATAGGTTCTTCCTTGATGACTTTATTGTTTTCCCCATAGATTTCTTTTTCCACTGTGAAGGAGAAAGAACTCTGAATCAGTAACTCCCCAACAATGAACACCAAACTGGATTTTTACATTAAGTACAAAGAAATAAATGGACCTTTTAGCATATCAATAGATTTCAAGAATAAAAGGAACAGAAACTTCAGACGCTACTACAATAGGTAATAAAAAAATATCGTTTAACTGAGGCATTTTAAATGGCTTGACAAAACCTGTTACACAGTTTTCCAGTAGTTATTTCTGAGGGTTTGTGTTTTTACTCCTGCAAGAATGGAATGAATAGGTAGTTTTAGAGTAATTTACGATTATCACCTGTGTCTTTTGCATGATCTAAGTTTTCAGAAATTGTATCAACTTCTTTCTCTTCACGTAACTTCTCTTCTTTCACTTGTACTTTCTCCAAGGTCTCTGAAACATCTTTGTCTTTTGCTTGCAGATCACGAGAATCTTTTGCTCTTTCTTTCTCTGTTTTGACCTTAGCTGGACCTTTTCGTTTATCCAAGTTGCATTTCTCATCTTCACTCTTTGCTATTAACAAATCCATGAAATGGTTTCAGTTATTCGGAATATTTTAGACTCTGCCACACCCTTTGTATGTTATTTACCTCTCAAACCATTCACACATCACTAGTGAAATTCAGGAGGAGAATTTTAACCCCACAGAAATAACACCACAGGTTAAACCACTAACACTGAATGAATACATATACACCCCAATATTTTACATGTTACTTTCTGGGTTTGATTACCTACATGATTTTAAGCTACCTTTTAGGTAAGGCTAGATAAAGCTGGACAAATATCACACACAACTTCATTACTGAAGCAATTCAATGTAGCTAAAAACACCTATGAGAACTGAAGAGATTACACTGACAAAGATTAGCAGATACCCACAAACCTCCTCTGGAACACTACTCCTAACAAAGCTTCCATAAGGAATATCACATACAAATAATTAACTGCAATTACAAGCAAACATAAGCAATGCAGACACTTACTTGGTAGCAATTTTCTGTAATTTGCATTAGTATTTCCTGGCAGTTTGGGCATAAACCTGTGGACATGTGTTTTACTGATCCAGCTCCAGCCCCCATATCCTGTCACTCTGTATTCCTCTCCTTTTTGCTTCCAAACCTGTAAATATTTTTAACGTAACAGCATTAATGATGCCACTTGCTGCACTACTGATGTATACACTGTTCAGAAAAACAAAGATGATTCAGAACAAACCAAAAATGCTGATTTACAGACTTCCTCAAGCGAATCTATTTGTGAAATAATGTACTGATAATTGACTCAGACATAGTAACATCTAAAACCCATATTTACTGAATGCAATAGTGAGAATACCTAACTGCTGAAAGGTTAAAGGAGTTTTAGGTGCTTGAACACGTGGCCATGGTTCCTGCTCCCATGGCAGGGAGGAACACAGGACATCAGCATTGGAGGCTTAACATGAAAACAGAGTCAGGAACCAACACTTTCTGTATTTCCTTTGTTCAAGAGAACCTCACCTGATGTTTGACAGGAAATGTGTATTTCACCCATGTGGCTTGCTGCATTGTTTCTTCTTCTTCTTGCTTTCTCTCTTTTTTTTTCACCTTCTCCTTTTCTTCTCTCTCTAATGCTGTCATCCTGCGTAACCTAATCCACATAGATTTAAGTGCATGTAAGTACAGGATCTTATAAGCAAATACAAGAAGTCAACAGCACATACTACTCCTCTGAACAAGCTTCACTATCTGAAGTTAAGAGGAGTGCCCAGTACCAGGCTGTCTGTGTCACCTGCAACACAAACACCACTTTTATGGCTACTCCAGCAAGGCAAACACAGCTGACTGCAACTGCAACAGACATCTATTTTCTGCTCCTATGACACAATGAGAGACAAAACACAGACTCCATCAAGCTGAGAGTGTTGAAATTGGCTCTTCTAGGCTCCCAGTTTTAGCACTTTGAGCCTGTGGCTCAGATAAAGAAGAAAAACTTGCTTTGCAGGAACAATGGCACTATAAAAATCCTGTCATGCCTTTTCAGCATTTCTGGTTGAGAATAAACACTTCAAGCTGTGAACGACTGACTCAATCTAAACAATTCTTACAAGCTTAGAGACTAGTAAACCAAGGTAAAGTTCTTCTACTCAAAAATATTTGATTATTGATTAATTCTACCTGGTGTGTCCCAGGGATTCTCTCCAGATGGGCAGCATGACAACTGGTTTAATTGCACACTCCAATATAGCCAGTGCTAGTGCAAATTCTCTGGGTTTGCTGCACATCTGAACAGCCTTGATCCAGTTAGACCTAAAGTGAGAAAAAAGAGAAAAGACTGAAACACATACATGCACTAATACAGCACGTGGTGTCAATGGATATAATGGCAGGATAAAAATGCTTATAAAAACTCCTATGTTTTATAACTTTACTCAAAGGAGCAACCCTTTGAGCCACCCACCATAACGTATTATCCTGTACTGAAGCACAGGGCTGGGAAATCACTGATTTGAAAAAACCAAGACACACAGAATCATAGAATCATCAAGGCTGGAAGACACAAAGAATCATAGAATCATCAAGACTGGAGGAGACCTCTAAGACCATCCAGTCCAACCATTAACCAGTCACTGCTGGAACCACTAAACCATGTCCTCCAGTACCTTCAACACTTCCAGGGATGGTGACTCCACCACCTCCCTGCGCAAAAACTGTTAACCCTTCTTAACACTTAGCAAAAATACAAGTAAATCGAGAGAAACTGTTAACCCTTCTTAACACTGTTAGCAAAAATACAAGTAAATCGAGAGAGTATCTATTTTCCTTTATTAATTTACCTGTGGGAAGCCCAGTTGGGGTGAAGGAAGGATGCTGGGATATTGTTTTCCAGCTGGATAATAGTCAGCCTCAAGGTGGAGATGGTCAGCACCTTGGAGCCATGCACAGACCCATTCCATTTGAACTCTCCAGCTGGAGTCAGGCAGAACTTGTGTGAGAGGTGTCGTCTCTTGTCGTGGTCCTCCCTGTGCTGGTGCTTGTTCAGGGCGAAGGAATTAGTGGCATATTGATTGTGATAAACACGATACTTCCCCTCCTGCCCCAGTTTGAAGTAATTGTTGATATTTGCTTTTATCACAACATCCTTCTTGGGGGTCAGCCGGGACACTTCTCCTTGAGAGTTCACCACCAGAACCTTAGGAAACAAAGAATCATTTTAAAGATTCACTTCCCAGTATTTCTAGTTCTTTATTTATGATTTAGGCTTCAGTTGTCTGTCTATAAAAATACCCTGCATCAGTTTGTAGAAGCAAAAACTGAGTCGCAGGTTTCAGAGGTTTGTGAGTAAATAAGCTAAATGCTAACTTACAAGAAAAACCAGTTAACAAAAATAAAATGACTATGTCAAACAATATGCAGACTGCTAATTGCACTGAGCTCCCAACACTCAAACACTTCCTTCCTGGATAAATTGGGCTACTTAAAAAAACATAACAGAACCAAAACAAACCACCAAAAACCCAACAACCAACCTCCAGTTAAGCACAAAGTCATACCAGTGCAAAGGGTCACTGTCATACCACACTGCAGACAGCAACAGAGAGCAAGAGCAAAGGAGAAGGAAGAAGAAAGCTTCCTGTGATATTACCATCTCACTATTTGCTAATCCATTACTCCTCTTTTAAGCACTGTCTGCCAACATCACTCCTTCACTCCACGATAAAATGCATCATCATTTAAATAAACGCATTGTAATTTTCTCTAGAACATTTTCCGTACTTCTTTGATCTTTCCAAGCTGTGCACAAACCTCTCTGCTTTCTTTGTACACCTTATTTGTGTCACTTGGTGCAGCAGTGACCTGCTGCTGGCTTTTCAGCTGGCTCAGTTTGCTGTCTGGGTTCCGCAGTCTGGTGAGCATCCGCGTGGAGCCTGCAGCACCTCTCCCCCCACCTGGAGAATCACTTCTCTCCCCGTTGGATTTCTCTCCTGCCCAGGGGAAATGAAAAAAAAGTCTTTTAAAACAAACTTAAGAGCTGGAAGAGAAACGAAAAAAAGGCTTTTAAAACAAACTTAAGAGCTGGAAGTTTTCTAGTAATGTATGAAAGTTAGGAAAAGAGTAAGTTTAGTGAAGAGAAAATATGCAGAAAGGTGGAGACACCATCATCATCACTGTTACCTGTGTCATCTGAAGTGTGGGATCCTCTCTCTGCATTTTCAGCATCATCAAAAGTCCTAATGGAGTCATTGTGCCCAGAGCCCATCTCACTCCCACTGCTGTTCTCCACATCTGCCTGTGGAGGGGCAGCACATCCACTGCTGCTGTTGCTGGAGATCATCTGACCAGTTTCTTCTACAAAAGAACAACTTCATTTTTAGTTTTTTTTTTCTTTTCAATTGGACGAATGTAATTTCTTTAGGTTTTAAAGTTTTCATCAATAAAAGTTAGATGAACATATTTTGCTGGACTGGAGGGAAAGACTCATAAAATATTCATTCCCTTCAGTGCAGTTTTTGTTCTGTTTCGACCAGACTTTTACAGCTCTGAAGAGCTGAAATTCATACTTGTGTTTAAAACACATTCATATTTCATCCAAGACAATTTTTTCTACAGATGCACAGAGAACCCTCCACTGAGACTTTGTTTTGCATTTAGAATGCAGACTTCATAAAATCTGGTCTTCTGCAGTTTCTATCATTTTCTCCTTTGATTCTCTCGTGCTCTAGCTGTTCCTCAAAGCACACACCTTCCACTTCCCCTCGTTTTCCACCCAGTCTTTGACTGTCTCTTCTCCACCACATGAATCCTGAGCAATCCCACAGATTTCAGCTCAACTGGCACCACTGGATGTCTAAACACCTCTGCAAGCTGAAAATATCAGCCCCTTCCTTACAGCCTGATGGCTCTGGACGTGGCTTAAGGCTCACTGCAGTAGATCAGTTGTTGGCCCTCAGTTGTCCTTGTCACTGTCTGGACAGCTGTGGACAGTCCTGTCACCTCACCTGCTGCTAAGGTGGGTGTTGCTGTAGGACCTTTTGACTAAACATCAGTGAACTGCAGCTACCTACAAACAAATCACTCCAGCTCCCCAGGAAGAACAGTCTCCATCCCTCAAAACCCTCTTCTGGATTTGGTACCAGAGACACAGCTGAGCTGTTTGAAAACGACAAGATCTTTCTGTTTCTAGAATTCTTCCAAAGCATCAGGGATTCTGTTGTTGTTAACAAAGTTTAGAGAACAAAACCTGTGGAATATCCACTCCTAGCAGAAAGATGGATCAGGTAAATATTTTGGGATTCTTAGAGGATCCCTGACCTGAATGTGTCTTAATTTCTGTCTTTGCCCAGTGGATGACCATCACTGTTTGATCCATTTCCCTGTTTACCACGAGGGAAAATGGAACTGTTTCCCTGCCTGCTGTTTGGAGGAGAATGGAAGCACCCAAACCAGAGTGTTAGTAAAGACTAACATCCAATCTGCATTTAACAAGTATGGTGACTTTCTCCTCTAGCTTTGCATTTTACTCGTATTTTCCTCCTCTTTTGGGGCTAACAGCCTCCCTGATCCTGGGTCAGTGTCTTTCCTTTGCCCTCAAAGGAGAGACTCAAATACCAGAAAAGGAACACAAGCATCACTACAAATGCAATAAATTAGACATGAGCAAGAACCCTCTGCACATACACTAATTTAAAACTAAGCAAGAAGCTTTGGAAGGAGAAAAGGCCTTGGAAATAATATATAACGACAGATAGATAAGTGAACCTTTAAAACAAAATACAAACCCACTGATAGATAGATAAGTAAACCTTTAAAACAAAATACAAACCCACAAACGTGTCTGAAATGAAATTGCAGGATATGGACCTTTTCCATTAAACCTCTATACAGTTATTTAGCTTAAAAAGGGAAAAAAGAATGAAAACAGGCAAAAATATTTGGTCAATTATCTGAAATATGTGCTTGTTGTCTCATGCACTGGGACACTGTCTGTTCTAAGAAAGTCTATGAGGCTTCCAGATTTCAGATTGATCTTAGCTTTCATTTTGTCCTCCTGTTAAGAAAATTTATTACAAGGTTTGGATGCATTGACTTCCATAAGTTCAAGAACTGCACTCTGTATCTGCATGGAGAACTAGTTCTGTAGGAGGGAAAACATTTACTAGCACTGTTTAAAACATAGCACACCAAGTATGGCTCCACCACAGATTAGAGGATGTTTAGATTTTCAAGAACTGAAAACAAAACCCTAATCATTGTAACAGTAATCAGATGTTTAGAAAAACATTTGGTTATGTAGCAAAACTTGTACAGAATACACTGATAATTTAAGTTACACCTAATCAATCCCTAAAGCAAAAGTTTGGTTAGATGATTTAATGAAGTAGTATACAATATTACTTCTGAATCTCTGACATGGCAGAACAAAACATGGTAAAACACAAGAGCCCTGTGCTCATAATTCTGAAATCTGCTGAAAATTCCTAGCTTGACAATTTCAATCTTGACATTTCCGTGCAATGGTTTACTCAGGTGAATGAAATTGCTTTGTCTGTTAGTAATTACAAAGGTAAATGAGAGGCTAAAATAATAAACAAGCCAGCAGCAAATTAGAGTCCGAAATCAACTCTGACAGGATGCTAACAATCATCATGGATCACTATGAAAAACAAAACATACAGAAAACAGAAAATAAAAAGCTTAGCCATAGTCCTCTTTGGAAGGCATGGGAACAACAAATGCTGATGTCAGAGGACCACAAATTTCAAGCACTAGTTGCAAGAAAATTAACTTTGAAATGTTAATAATGACACCATAGCAGCAAGGGATGGCACTGCAAGCAAACAGCATGAGTGGTGTACACTGGGCATGGGTTTAGTGGACAAAGCAGAGAGAAAAACTGCACAGATTGCCCAAATTACAGAGGCATTGGTACCAGTGCCCTCTGTACCTGAGAGTTCCTGAGGGAGCTCTGCTGTCACCTTCTTCTCTGCCTCGTTGTTGCTCTCAAGGGTTTCTGCCTGACACCCCACCGAGTCCTTCCCTTCAGAGCAACTAGTGCCTCCTGCAGAAGGATTTGTGTTGTTGTCATCAGTGCTTGGTGTCACAGAGTTACTTTTATCCCCAACGACTGTTGCCTCTATAGTAAAACGCACAACAAAACTTTAGGGATATTCTTTATTATGCCTTAGGATGTCATTTGGTATCACCCATAGAAAGCACCTCAGCAGCTTCGCTTGTCTGTTTGATGATCTGAAAAATACTGAGCTTTTTCCTTTCTTTTTTCAGTTTGGGGTTTTTAATATGATCGTATTGTCTCAGAATTAAAGAACAAACCAATTCTGACGAGGACCAAGTTAAAAATGATGCAAGATGGCTTGCTACAAACATGCTGAGCACAACCTTGTAAGTGCCACCTGTGCCTCAAGGCATATGGTATATCTAGAAGTTAGCTGGGTAAGAGTAGGAAAATCGGTGAAATTACTTCACAAGACAAACAGCTACAATATACAAGCACAAAGGAACTGGCAAATATCACCTACTGCAAGAATATCTTAGGGAACCATACAAAAACAACTATCACGTTAGCACTCTAAGAAATGTGAGGCTCTTAGCTAAAGATTCACTTCACCTAAATGGAGCTCTTAGAGCACAGTCAGAGTTTCTTTACCTTCTATTTTCTCTTTTTCCACATCTTGTTCATTGGGTGTTTCCTCAATTTTATCCTGGTCTCCAGGTTCTTCCCTTCCCCTCTCAGCATCTGTCTGGTCATTATCAACATCACTTCTGGCCTTCTCTGCTTCATCATCTCCTGTGGCTTTATCTTCCACAATTTCTCCTTTTCTTGCTCTGATAATGTCCAAAATTTCATCTACAAGAGAAAGCATGTTGTCACCAATAAACAACAGACACCACCACAGAGCACAAACTCAATCCTGTTTCTTACATACAATAAACCAGGATTTGATTCCAAGTGCAACATCCATGCCCATTACACAAAACAGTCTCACCATTTGCTGCAGAAAGGAAAGACTTGTTGTTGCCCCTTGCTTTGTTGGTAAGGTCTTCTGTCACATCCATGTGCCGATGGACCTCCTCACGCATCTCATCCAGGGTTTTGCATAGGTCAGCTTCCCAGTAATCCTTGTCCAGGCACTCAATTAGCTCTGCCAGCTGGATCTTTGTGCTATAGTACCAGATTTTCTTATCTTTCTCACTTTCGGAATCTTCCTCTCTGCAGGAGCATTTAGAAAACATTCATTTCACAATATGTGGATAAATGACCAAAGTTAGTAGTTCTCTGCTTTGTGCAGAGCTGTGGAATGCCAATACCTGGGGGCAATCAACAAGCCACATGTGGTCTGCACACACTTTAGTCCTCAACACTCCTTTCCTGCTTCCCTCCCTTTCTGCATCCCCTCAGTTCTCATGACAACCTCCTCAGCAAAGCTTTTCAAGAGTCTCCTCAAAACTGGTTTGTCCCATCTGACAACAAGGTTTATTCTCATCATTTTTACTATCACTGCAACCAGTAATTTACTACAAAGTCTGAAACAATTTGAAAGGAAAGAAGGTACAGCTCCAGAATCCATAATGGGACGTTTCCGACTGCATATTCAGGAAAGAGCTAAGTTAGAAAATTCAAAGGGTAGAATGTCACACCTGTAAAATATTTTGTATTGGCATCTCTACAGCATCCACCTGTGAGAGGCTCAGTAAGGCACAGTATGATCCTTTGGAAAGATCCAGGGATTTCCACTGTTTATCTGGGTTACTCCATGACCCCACAAGCCCAGACACCACCACACGAGGCCCAGAGTACCAAAAGCTCCTCAGCCAGACCCAAGGCAGCTCCACAAACACCTCAGGTTACAGACCCTCCTGGAGCACTGGACAAGGCAAGGAGGATGCTCCAAGCAGCTGCTGGATTTCAGCAGAGAAGAATGGCCTCAGGGATTCAAACAAATGACCACAAAGCAACGTGGACCATTGTTGATCTATTGTCTTCCACACTGCATTTATGAAACAACTAATACTTGCAACTCAATCAGGATACTACTAAGGTAAGGTAGTTATGGGGTTAATAATGGCAATATAACCAAAATTCAACTACGAAGTTGTCACAACCATCACTACAAAACAGACTGTTGGCTTTGATGGTCAAACCTAGTGTATTGCAAAGAAATACTCTTATCTTACTCAAAAAGGCCTTTGCTCATGAAAAGCAACTAATTCCCCTTTACCTTTTTACTCCCCTCAACTCTCAGGAACTTCCCATGGGTTTGAGCCACACCAACCTGTGACATTTGACAAGTTTTCTCAGAAAACAGCTCCTTTCAGGACAACACCAAATAGTAAAGCTGGACACTGACAACCATTTGACTCTCTGGAATACTCTAAGCCTGCAGACTTCCATGTTCAAGCAAAGTCCTGCTTAAACCATGTTTCCTCTAAACCAAGAGTTATTTACCAGCAAGAGAAATGACAGCACTTTTATTATTAGTGGTGAACAAAAGCCACAGAAAAGGAAGATAAAGGCAAACACTCAAAAATCAAGATGGCAGGGGAGAAGAGAATGCAAGAACAGAGCTTTACATTTTGAGGGATGAAACAATGCTTGACTAAAAGGACAGGGAATGTGCCTCCTGAGCTTCCCCTGGCAAATGGCCCAGGGAAGTGGCAAGTGCAAGACCCCAGCAGAGCAGCAATCCATGCTGCTGTTTATCCTTTATTTCTCAGCTCACTAAAAAGGGAACTTTAACCTCCTGTGTTGAGCCCCCAGCTCATTACAGGATTATCTGCTATAGATAATGCCATTTATACATCTTTTTGTATGACCCAGATATGCAACAATACAAATGCTTTATACAGAATCATACAGAATCACTTTGGTTGCAAAAGACCTTTGAGCCCAAGTCCAACCATATATTCTCCTGACTCAAGGAAGGCTGTGCCTGCACCACTCCCCAGACAAGCAGCTCAAGCACAGAGACTGGTACACCTTGCTTCAATTTTGATGGTCATCATCCAAGTATTTCCTTGGAGCACACAGCAGAACTCCTTCCATGCAATCTATTTTGGCCAAGCTAGTTAAGATTTAAATTCACAATTAAACGTTTCAAGTTAACTTTCCCTGAGCATCTTATTGCATTTGCTGAAGGGACACTGCTTTTACCCTCTGAAGAAATCACAAAGAGATGGAAAACTGCAGGGCTGCACAATGACTGATTCCCAGTGTTTTTCCTGGAGAAGTCAGCCAGATTTGCCAGCCTGGTGCTGGACAGGTCTGCTGAGTCTCCAGGGGACTCAGTTGAGTCACATACAATACGTGAGGCCAAGGAGGGAGAACAGAATCACATGAGTGTTTCCTACCTCTCTAAGCCTCCTCTGCTGCCAGGAACTATTCCCTGGCAGGCTGTAGAGGCAAGTTTGAAGACTGATAAAAACAACACCACAGAAGATGCTAGAAACTTTCAAGCAAAGCAATAATGAAGAATTCATTAGTAGCAGCAGCAGTAGATCTCTCTCTCTTCCTGTCTCCTGGGCTGATACAATTAGAAACTGAAGAATTCAGTAAGTTGTTATAAGCAATCCATTCAAATAAACCCCAAACCCTTATAATTAATTGGAGAAAATAGAGGAGGATCCCCTAAGAACATAAACAGCATGAGAAATCTTGCAAGAAAAAGGTGAAGCAGCTTTGACTGTCGAGGAAGATATGCACAACTCGGGAATAACAATGTGTGTCCTATTTCTGCTATCAAAATGAAAGCCAAACAGTGTTTCTTTCACAGACACTTGGTAAATCCAGAGCATCTCAATATCTCTAGAAAGATAACTGGATAAAACACTGCAGGAGTTTACTAGGACAATGCAAGTCCAAGTCCTAAATTTCCCAAGTTGTTAACTTGCAGAAATTATCTTCCCAAGAACAACTAACACAACTGACCCAGAGGCATCAGCCTGAAATTGTAAACAGCTTGAAATAAAAACCTCAGGAATTAATTTTATTTTCCCCCTTTTTTTTTGGTTTTCATCTTCTTGATAATTTGCTCATGGGGATGCATGAGGAGACCTCCTCAATGTCCACTTTGCCTCTTGGTAAAGAGGGAAACTCACAGCGAATGGTTTAAACAAGGCAAGAGATGGAAACAAAAGTATCAGTGAATAACAAGTCTACAAAACCCTTTAAGAGGTGGGAAAAGCAGCAGCATGATGGATTTACGGCATTTAAAGGGGGAAAGGCGAGAAGTAAAAACCCTTTGGAAAAACAAAAAACTCACAAGAATTTGGGATTTCAGTTCTCTAATCCCCCTGGGCAAGATTTCAAATCAGTATTTGTGCAGATTATTTTTAGATCTATTAGTTTCCTCTGATACAGTTGATCACATGGCACTGGAGGATACACTATTCATTTTAATGAAGCTGATATGGTAACATCATTTCAGGAACCTCAGGTTTTATCTCTGAGCAGTTTTAAGTCCTCCTGCAGTTATCCAAGATATCAGGTGTGGCTTGATCTTGCTCAGGATATCTATGCAGAATGTTTGGCTCTGCCACACAGCTTCCTGAACTGAAAGGACATGGAAAACTGAAAGAACAGAGTTCAATGTCCATGTGAGTTGTTAGAGTTCCCCTGGAATTTAGTGGTGTGGTACATAATTTTGCCCCCTCAGGAAGTGGCATTAGGACAAAGTTTTAAGGCACGTTATGCATACATTTAATTATGCCAAAGTTGTCTGAGAAGTCCAGTGGAATTGACAGATTCTGAGCATCCCACACTGCACTGTTCAGGTACTGCTGCTGCACATCTGCCAGAACAACAGTCTGTCTTCATAAAACCTGATTTATTATTGCTGAAACCAATGATTTGCCCACTGAACTCCTAACAGCAATGCAGAATATTGTTTTCTAAAAACTCAATGCATTTAACCTTTGAAGATGTCTCTTCTCTGCAGTTAAAATTATTACCAATGTGCTGGAGAGAAACAACTTTCAGATGTGCAGATTTCCAAGGATCACAGAGCACCTGCAGGATTTATTTCAGTTTAAAATACATTGAAGTACTGACTGCATCAAAACCTGCTGA